GTATTAATTTGTTCTTATCATATTATTATAATGCTGTACAAGGTGATCGTGAACTACTCAATAATACTACACTAATAACTACTCAATAAAATTGTTTTTGACATTTTCATGTCTTAGCTCTAGCACATAACCGAAAAAAGCGTTATTTACTTAGTGTTACCAAAAAAGTGTAACGAAAAATTACCACATGGAGATGGAGTTAGGGTGGGAATGGGGTTGGGGGTAAGAGATATGAGATAGGGGGGATAGGGGTGGGAGATAAGGGGTAGGCGATAGGGGTAGGAGATAGGGGGTGGTAGATAGGGGGTGGGAGATAGGGGTGAAAGATATGTTGTACGTTCAACGTTCAAATTAGAACTAAATGATAAATTCAAAATAGTTTAAGGACCCAAATTCTCTATGAATTGTTTTAAGCTAGATATTAAACACTACAATATTAGCCAGAAACTTGATGTTTTAAGATACTAGCTTGTTACTGCTTCTTAATATACTATATAATTGTCTATAATTCCACCACTACTCTAAATTTATTCGGTACTTCAACGAGACATGAAAATGCTCTTTCGTGGTAGCACACTCGGCTGAAAAACTTTTTTCATTTTTTTTTTATACAATGTGATCTTAATTTTTTTGTTTTTACCCTCCTCCCAACTTAGTTTTTTTAATGGCAACTTTTGAAACTTAAATTGTAACGTATATGTTTTATTATTTTTTTAAATTGAGAATAATACATTAAACATTTTGACTGGTCGATAACTAGTTTTGGATAACTATTTTTGAAGTTATTGAAGTTTCAAGTTAAGGACAGGAGGAATGGTGGAGTGTAGTATTATTTTTATCTGCGCTCATTTCCCAACCGCACTTCCCCTCCCACTCTAGTTTTAAAACTCTTATAACTTCTACAATAGTTATCCAAAACTGGTTATTCACCAGTCAACATATTTAGTACGTTATTCTCAATTTAAAAAGTTAATAAAATATTTACGTTACCATTTAAGTTTCAAAAGTTGCTATCAAAAAAGCTAAGTTTGAAGGGGAGTAAATACAAAAAAAATTGTAAAAAATTGAGATCACATTGTATAAAAACAATATAAAAAAAAAAGGTTAATTTCTTATTAAAACCTATAAGATCTTGAGTGGTTCACGCTAAGTGTATCACCCTGTATTTAGTTGAAATTTAAAGGTCTTTTAAAATGATTTCTATTTATTTTTATTATACTGTTTTAATTATTTTGCATACAAATATGTACAGGGTGGGGCAGTAAAACGAGCGATTTTCCGATGTATTTAAATGGAAAACTCCGTTTCACTGCCTCACCCTTTACAACTTAAGGATCTATGAAAAGGTTTTTTTAGTTGCATTTTGTTTTGTACATTGTCAATCTAGTAAAATATAAGTATAATAGAGCTTTGAAAGAATATAATATATGAAGAATAACATTTAGTGTGAGATTGCTCTAATGGAAGTATATAATACATAAATATTAATTTTATTGAGAATAAGTGATTATAATTTAAACTATAGAGTACAAATGATTCCAACTAAATTTAACAAGACATTGTATATGTGTTATTTGGTCCACTATGGTTTTACAAAAAAAAAACCAGTACAGTGGGGTCGGGGTATATTGGGGACGGGGAGGACACAGGTTTACAGGAATTTTTAAATTTAAAAGTGATAAAATCACTTTCGAAAAACGCTTCGATGCAAATCGGTAGTTAGTATTTTCAAGCCAGTACAGTCCAAACCATGCACAGTATAAGTTAGAAAGTATTAAATTGAAAAATCGGTGACTAAAGTCGTTTTTGAAATGACCTATTCAATTTAATACTTTCTAAATTATACTGAGCATGGTTTGGACTGTACTGACTCGAAAATAAAAACTACCGATTTGCATCGAAGCGTTTTTTCGAAAGTGATTTTATCACTTTCAGATTTAAAAATTCCTGTAAACCTGTGTCCTCCCCGTCTCCACTATGCCCCGACCCCACTGTTCTGGCTTTTTTTTAAATATAGAGTTATGAAAAACTCTTTATTTGTATAAATTATGTAAATTTAATAATGAAATAGTTAGGGTTTTATTTATTTAAAACTTAAGTAATTGTCGTCCAAAAAAATTGACCATGTCAATTAGCCTATTTTTAAATGGATTTTGGAGATTTAATTTCAATTTTATGACGTATACACTATGTATACAATGATAGAATATCAACATTTTGCACATGTTATTAATTTTTATGTTGAGATAAAAATGTAATACTTGTTAAAACAAATTTGTTTGGAGTTAGGTGATGCTATATTCCATACATTTATTGTAAAAACACCACGTAACTTAATGACTAATTATGATACCGAAATCGAATTTTCACTGAACAATTGTAATTGAAGTGTTCTTTCTTTTTTATAATATCCTTAAACAATTTTTTTTCAACATTTCAATTAGCCAAAAATTGAAAGACACATAAAAATTTTTATAAATTTCATTAAATTTTTATGCTGACTCAAGTTCAAAATAAAAATAAAAAAATGTTGAACCGAACTTTTTATATACGTCTTTTAATAAAGTTTTAAAGCAGCATGTAATGGAACGATTGCGATTCGTATGATAAGAATTTATTATTATTATGATTGTTGGCGGCGAAATTTGAATGTCACGCCAGCCAGGTATCATCCGACAATCTCTGCCGCCTGTTTCCCTCCGCTACAATCAGGTCGATCAACGGACACCCGTCGCCAGCACATGACACGGCCATATCATGTGTTGACCGTACCGCTCTTACAATACTTTGTAACTTTTTATTATACGCAGGTACGTATATTACAAATTAAATATATTTTATTTTATTAAATAACCGATAAAGTGGGTTAATTATATAGTGAGGTTAATGTTATTATCTCATACAGTGATGCTACAGTATATTATAACTTTAATACCTAACAATTTTCGCTGCGGTTACTTGCCTATGATACGCATATACTATTTTTTATTACAGTGTGACTAGCTCCGGCTCACAGCGACTTCAAAGTTCAAATCCTAAAAAGACGATCGAAATAAATATCTCCTGAATTTCAATTATAAAAACGTCAAAATATATGTTTATGGGGTCACCGCATTCGAATTTCATATACATTTTAAAGTCTGCCTCCTTTTTTGGATTTAGAGGGAGGATTCTTTTAATTAAAAAAAAAATTTCATGAAATACAATAAATTATATGTATTTGAAGTCTATGCTTTGAAGTTTGATAAGAATTGTAAAGATAGCTTAGGAGTTACAGGCGGACTTAAGGGTATTTTTTAGATTAAAAAAAAAGTCATCCATTAATTTTATTAATAGGATTATTGAAATCAAAAATGTATAAGATTTACAATCAAATTATATTTTCGAAAACAAAAACATTTGTAATTGAATTCCTAAGTATTTAAATGTAGGGATTCAAGTTATTTTTTTTAGCAGAGGTCTGCAATTAAAATTAGGTTGTTTAAATATTACAGACATAGCTATTTAGTAATATATTTGAACTGTCTATTGGAACGAGAAAATGGATTTTATCGTCTCAATATTCCAATAAATCGTAAATATACAAACGTAAGTACAAAATATCTATTTTTTTTAATACTACTTGTTTCATACGAAAATCCGGATTTTTCAAAAAAACGCTATTTGAGCCACTTGAAAACCTTATAAATATTAAATATTATTACAGTTAAAAGCCGTGTACCTATTAAAATGTAAATCAAAATTTAATTTATATAATAGTCCATCTACCGCTTGCAGTATTTCATTTAGTTCATAGTGTTGGCGCTTATAGCTACGTCCATGTTAACTCAACTATCGCATTTCACCAAAGCCACCATTCTCATAATCATCGGTCTCATGCATTGCGTTATCAACATGACCACCGTAAGCAGCGTCATCGACTGCGAGGACTTCATCATCAGCAAACCGTACAAGTAATACTTAGATACATGTTTAACTGTTGAGTACAACTTATTTATATGATAGCCGTCTAAAAGTTTACGCTTACTTACAGCATTGATTGAATTTTTAGATATTATAGTTTTTTTAGTGTAAGTACTTTACTTAAATAAAAACGAAAAATATAAAGCAATAAAGTGATACGGTAATAACTATCCAGGCGCGAAAATCACTTCAAAACAAAACTAGTAACACTAAATTAATTATTGAGGCTAAGTGTCACATAATAATAGTAGTATCTGTCCGAAGTTTTAATATAACCTATTACAAACCTGCTACTATACTATATTTAGGCTCAGCCGTTATTTCTTGAACTTAACAAATAGGTAGCGCACTATGATTTTAAATGAAAAATAAATAAATAGTATAGCACTCTACACTACTTTAAACTGAACGTTTAAAACGCAAACTCAACTACCTAATGATTAATTGCGATGTCCTGTTATAACCGTAATATATTCAACATTACTGGGTATCCCATGTAGGCCAATATATTGGAAACAGTAATAGTTGTTTAAAAGTTTTTGTAAACGTATGATAGTTGCTACAAGGTCGGGTTTTTAAGTATACTAAACGAGTTACTGTTATATTTTTACCAGCGTTTTGTTTTTTTGTCAGGATTTTATCGTTTTTGCTGACTTCCGTCACCGTGGCACTCGTTTACTTGGCTATAGGAACGTAAGTATCACCTATATACGTTTCAAATATTTGGAAAATTCCTACAGCCGATATCAACCGCAATGTGTTATGGGTTCAGATGGATAAATCTTCGACGGCATCCAAAATCCGAAGACGTAACGAAGCTTTAGTGTACAACATCCTACCGCCACTCGTAGTCAACCACTTTCTGGGAAGCTACAAAATTCAACATGAAGAATTATATAGCCAAAATTTTGCTGAAGTCGGAATATAGTACACAGTTAATTATTTTCCTCGTCGAGTAAAGCTGATTGAATATTTTCCCTTTTGAAATTGAAGTCATCAAGTACAATAAAATATTTTTTTTATCTTTTAGACTTTTATTCCGGAGAGACGGTGAACAACCAGGGACTGGAATGTTTAAGATTCCTCAAAATATCTGATTTTCACGTGGTATGCTTAAACGGTATTGTCATATTCAACGGCCAACGCTCGTCTAAATTACATAAGACTAATGAACGTTACAGCTTTTTGAGCAACCACGGTACCAAGACATCATTAAAATCAAAACTATTGGTTCATCTTATATGGCGGCTAGCTGGTTAAACTCGGCAAGAAAGGTTAAGGTAATAACTCCCTGGTTACGCTTATATTTTGTTTGACACTTACTTATCGTTAACGAATTTAGGCCGAAGATTCAATCGAAATAAGATGGGCACATCTAGCGTTTCTCGTCGACTTCGCTGTTGATCTGAAAAAATAATTGCAATGATTTAACGAACAAAGTTTCAACCACTTTGTATTACAAATGGGTAAATATTTAGTGTACTCGTACAATAATAATACAAGTCTGTTCAGGGAATATAGGTTACGCAATAATTATTTACTGTACATAATCATTGTTTATGATAAGAGACGAAAAATAATTTCTTAAATATTAAAAAAAAATGTTTATCACTACTGAAGGTAATATAATAAAATATGCTCTATTGTAAAATCGTTTAAAATTAGCTTGTTATATTAATTGCAACTTTATTTTTCCTCAATAACGTAACACCTAATGTCCCCAGGTACCAACCACGAGTTTTTTTAATTTAAAGTAGTACTGGGGATTTAATTACAATATTGAAAAACCTGGGACAGCTGCTCCTGTGGTAGTTTTTATCAAACCCTAGTCTGTCTACACAATTGATGAGTTCTTTTTATTATATTATATTTCTTCCTGGTTTATAATATGTTTTCTTACTTAATCATTGTGTATGTTATATACATTTTTTTTAACATCAGAATACAATATTATTTATCTTATTTTCATTTTCTAGCTTCACTTCCTGGTATGTGGACAAGAACCATAAAAATTGGCAGCTTAAACATTTAACATGACTAGTTGGAAACTTGGTCAGGCGTATCGTCCAGATTATCTCATAAAGAATATGCAAGTTGATCATCAAATTGCAATTTTCACATGTCCTACAACATGGCAAGTATGTTTTAATTTATAACAGTTTTGTAACTGAGTTATCTAAACTTATAATCGTAGAGCCGAGGCTGTCACAGGTCTGTAAGAATTATTACAAGTGAACAAAATTGCTTTTAAGGAAACACTTCAATGATAATTTATAGAATATGCTGTAATAATTGTTAAGTAGATTGCATGTGATCTGTTTTTTGACGTTTTAGACCAAAAAGCCAGAAAAAATAAAAAAAATAAAGTTATTAGGTATAGTTGTGTGTGAAAATCCCTCACATATCTGCATCTAAGTTTAAACAAATTGACTAGGTATTGTAAAATCAATACCATTTTTTGTTTCTTTTTCAAGCTACAACTAATATGTATTAAAAATAAAAAAATCACTAAGTTTAATAATAATAAATATAAGAATAATAAATAATAATATGTAATAACAAAGTATAATAATAGGTAACAATAAATTTGATTAATTTTAAAAATGGATTGTTTTTGTTAAATGGGATCCTATTCGATTTTTAGGCTGACTCAATTAATGTGTATAATAATGGACCAGGATTCTAAAATAGCTTTGACATACTAAATGAGTTAGTTGCAGTAAATGGTTTTTAATGGGTCTCGATTTAAAATGTGGTTATTTGGTAATGTTTAAATTACTTTTTGGAGGTGGCTTTTTTAATTAAAATATTGATTAAATTATTGGGTATTGTTGAGAGTTAATTTTTATAAATTTTAAAAACTATTTCAATTTTACATAAATATATAATATCTACTGATGGATTTATTAAACCACCACGGGTTTTCATATTTATTAGCGATTAAAACATTAAAATGATTATTTTCGCATATATTTAGGTCGTCGTTTTGCAGTGGCCGCTTCCATTTGAGTCCACGTGTTGCGCAATCCAACTGGCGTTTGACTGTACCACGAGTTGGCCGCATCTACTACCACCGCCCGACTGTGCTGTACCACGGGTTGTTGCATCTGTTAGTGCCGCCCGACTGTGCTGTTCCGACCGCCGATGGTTGACCGCTACAATTACCGCCGAACCTTGCTGTTCTACTGTGTCGACGTGTTCCAGGGTGTGGTGGAGTCATAAAAAGTTGTATTTAGTTTGTTAAAATGTATTGTTATATTTTGGATACATTGTTTGTTTCTCTTTTTTTGCTGTCTAAACAGACAAACTTTTTGGGTATATTTCATAGTCTTTATTGTTATAAATCTGTAATAAATCGTATATTTTGGTCACAATTAGTTATGTCATAAGTTCTGGTTCGTGGCGAAACTCATTGTTAAGCCATAATGAGAACAATTAAAATTCAATATTGAAATAAAATTATTTAAACATTTTTAATATAAAAATTTCGTTATCGGGTATTTTCATATTAATATTTTTCCATGATATGATTTCTTCCATGCCATACCTAACAACTCATTCTGTCTCTTTTGAACGATATCGATATCTATCTCTCTGCTATCAGTCCATTTCTTTATAGGTCTATGGTAATAACCGATAACGCATAATATTATAGATAAGTAACAAATAGGCTAGGTTAGGTTAGGACTCGACGGAACAAAATTTCCCTCGTTTTGGGGAGAATGCATTTTTAACAAAATTTTCAACGATATTAAAAAAAGTTATTGCCGTTAAAAGTAAAAAATTACTATTGTTCGATTATTGAATATATTAACAATCTGACAGGATAATATTGGACAGAATTTTGCAGAGAGCATCTGTCCTTCAATCACTTACTATTATTATCGTTAAAATTGTTTTTTTATTGCCAGCCATTTGAAAATAAGCAAACCATTCAAGAGTATTGAATAACACAATACTCTACAATATTACTTGTTTGTTTTTTTACAAAATATCCTTATATTTGTTGTATACAACAATTTTTGCATAATGGATTTATATACAACGAATCGGTCAAATCTCTTAGCATATTATTAAAGAATGTATGTATGACCTTATTGTTTTTTAAATATGCGTACATTATATTGCAGTCATCTGATGTTATCACAACAAAATATTATTGTACATTGGCACTAAAAGTGTTTCACAGTTCACGCCTTATTGAGTATAAAGGAAATCAGTTATAATACTCTTATCGTTCTTATTGTTTATTGATGCAATAGTTCAGATTGTTTGTCTAATAAAAACAAATACTTAAATGCACCAACCCGACATAATAATTACAAAGCTTTTTGGTTAACGTTTCAACAGTAACTGTATATTAGAGGGTTAATTACGATAATATTTGATGATACTATATTACCTCATCATTTAAAACTAGGTATTTAGAAGTATTATAATTGTATTAACTTTAGACAATATTATAATTTATAGTACCTAGAAAAGAAAGTAAACAACAAAAAAAATAGGATGCGCCCTAAGTGTACATATTCAAATGTATCCAATACAAGCAAATATCTATTCATTTACAACATCTAAAGTAGTTTAAATTAAAAGCGTTTTAAAATAGTTAATAAATGAGTAGTAAAAAATGTATTAAAATTAACAAACTTAAACTTTAGCTTTGTTTATAACCATCATAGCTACCTAGCATGAAGGTTTCAAAAATATGTTAATGAGTGAAACATCGACCGTCTACGGCCTAACACAATTTTTAATTTTAGGTATAATGTTTTAAAATAAATAATTAAAAATAAAATTTGTTGATAGAAGGTAGTCTGCGAGGGTAAAAAACAAAAGTAAGGGGTGAAAATTGGAAAACAGTATAAATTACGAACTCGTGTGCTAAGTATTACTACTCTAAGAAATCATACATAACTTATTACTTATATAGTATAGTTCTTGAAGATAAATGTATATTAGAAAATAAGCAATAAAATGTAGGCCAAACAGTCAAAACAAAACGAAATTGTCAATACTGCAAAAATTACAATCATGCCTATTATTTAAAGTGGGCCAAAATACGATGTCGGTGGCATTGTCCAATAAACGACCGTCTGTTACGAGGCAAGCACTTCGTGTGCTATTAGCTGTTGTTTTTTTGATTTTACATTGTTTTATAAAAATTATATCTTTTTGCGTGTTTATTCATTTGAGTTACTTTTCTTTTACTTAATTTTAAAAGTGTTACCTTACTCTCATCTCCCCGAAGGTAATAAAAACTAAGTGTCTTTATACAAAAATAAGTGTATTGTAATAAAGGCTGCACCTCCTGGGGAAGCCAAGTGCGGCTCTGGGTTCTTGCTAGAGTTATAACTAGTGGTTAGGCTATTAACCCGTTTATTATAGTAAATATCTAGGCAATATAATTGCGTCGAGTTATTTCTATTTATAATATATAATCGGAGGCCTGGCGTTGGATGGAAAGCACCCGAAGCAAGATCAATCCGGAAGAGGCGACTAGAGCTCTGCCCCTTTTCGCACCACTTATTATAAAAGGCACCTTAGTTGTCAGGTACAAGGTATTAAGTAATTTTATTTAAAGTGTGTGTGTATTTATAACATTTCATGTACGAAAGTGCGTATATGACAAAATTAGCGCCCAACTGGTAACTCGATCCTTCACGACACCGAATTTTTCCAGTCGCTTTAAAGGTGAGTTAAAGCGAATTTTGCAAATGGTATGTCGACCAAAAAAGGGTTAATTGATTGGATTTTTCTTAATTTTAGTTTTCGGTTTTGGTACTTTAATTATAAATAATTACTGATTTTAACTTGACATTAAATTTATTTGTTTTAGGTAGCATTATAATTTTAAATTTTGAGACTATTTCAAAAACATCCAATAAAAAAAAAGTTAAACATTTCATTTTACGATTTACAGTTGTTTATACTGTTGTTATTACCATTTTAATTAAAAAAAAACCGATGAACCATTTGAATCGCTTCATGCAAAAAGGGCCTTAGTTCTTAACTTTAAACTTTTGAAAAAATGAAAAAAAAACGTTTGATATGTTTCAAAATGCATAAAAATATAAGAGCTTTATCAAAGTTAATAGATATTAAACAGTAAAATTAAATTCTGTAAAACAATATTATTATTTTCAAATGCAGTCCAGATTATTAGCACTTAAGTATAGTGGACTTGGACCCTTTTTGCACGAAGCGATTCATTTAACATTGTGTAGCATATTGAAGATAATGTATTTTTTGTTAAGATATGGACTATATTTTAAATTACAACTTGGATAAAAGATTACATAAGTATAGTAATTTACAATGAAGTTGCTTCTAGGCCTTAGCTTAGCACACTACTGCAGATACACAATAAAACAAAAAAAGTATTTACTTATTATACTTAACAAATATGTAATTCACATTCGAATAACATGTTAGTTCAAATAGTAACCATTTTCGGACGACTATGCGGGCTTGTGTGTTAACATACATAATTTGTAATAATTATACATAGTTTATGTACTCCATATACGTACTAAACTAAGTTTTTTCTATAGTTTTGTTATGGACAATGTACGTCGTTCGATTCTAAATTTTTGTTAATGCGTTGCAGATGTAAGTATCTTACCCAATGCCTCAACGGGCCAGTCTATTGTTATCTCCATACTATAGCATATTAACTTTTTCTACTTAGTCGTTATCAAAGTACACTATAATGTGTACCGAACTTGTTTTGAAATTTTGTTGTTAAGACGTATTTGGTACAATTTAATTTTTACACGAAAAACGTGGTGAACATATTATTGAGAGAAACATGAGGAAATTGTTAGAGTAATTTTAGAAATTGTATTAAATGTTTTCTTGTATTTAAGAATTTATATTTAAATTATTTTGCTTTATTTTTTCTATGAATGGGTGCCCACAACGAGGCTCTAATCAGTTTCGTGCGGCTCTTGAAACCAAGCTTAGAGTAAAATTAATAAATTTTCATTTTATAAACATCTCTTAATAATGTGGCTCGCTTCGAATTAGCTTTATAAATTTGCGGCTCCCAAAATAACGGCTTGTGACCACCCATGGAATATAGGTATGATACAAAATATATAAACTTAAACAGAGATTGTCTACACTCTATGTAACCAATCAAAAGTTGACATATTTTGTTATAATAACAACAAATATTGTT